GTGTCTCCAGTCCAGTCAGGAGTGTGAATTCAGGGGGAGTGTGAGTGATGCACTGAATTCGCAGGTCTTCTCTCTGGGGGTGTCTTCTGAGAGAGAAGGCCTCTGCCCCTCCCAGGACATGCCTCAAGGGTCTGAGTGAAGGAGAGCAGCAGCAGGGCTTGAGGCTGAGGCGTGTCTGTCGTCCTCTGGTTTCCGTGTCCTTCGGGTCAGTTTGTTTGTCTTGCTATTCTGGGCAGCGGAGCTCCAGCATTAGGATGTGGTGGAGGAGGAGGGGTGAGTGTGCCTGAGTGTGCCTGAGTGTGCCTGAGTGTGCCTGAGTGTGCGTGAGTGTGCGTGAGTGTGCGTGAGTGTGTGTGAGTGTGTGTGAGTGTGTGTGAGTGTGTGTGCGTGAATGTGTATGTTTGAGTGCGTGTTGCTTTGTTTCTGTGTGTGTGAGTGTACAGTGTGTGTGAGTGTGTGTGAGTGTGCAGTGTGTGTGAGTGTGTGCGTGTTAGTGTACAGTATGTGTGTGTGTGCGTGTGTGTGTGTGTGTGTGTGTGAGTGCACAGCCCTGCAGACACACTGACTGGCCCTCCAGGACTGGACAGCTCTGCTGTAAAAGGTTCGTCTGTGGCCGTGTCTTACACAGCGGTACACACACAGGACACACACCACACAACAGGGCTAGTCCATCACAGGACACACACACACCAGGGCCAGTTTTTCCAGAAGCCGATTAATCGACCAGCATGTCTCTAGCCTGTGGGAGGAAATGAGAGCACCTGGAGAAAGCCCGCGTGAACGCGAGGGGAACATGCAGACTCCACGCAGACAGCACCCCAGGACCACTGCGCCACCGTGTGGCCCTGAGGAAACAGGCGAAGAGCAAACGTCCAGTGAGCCGATCTCTGCACTGAAGGGCAGGCGCCTCGTGTGGTCAAGGTCTCTGTGGACTTCGCTGGCATTCCTGAGAGCGCGTTCCGGGCGAGCATCTCAGTCTGGACGTGGCCTCGCGGTCAAGGGCCGCTGACAGCTCCCTGCACCCACCTTCCTAGGACCCCAGGACCCCTGGACCCCTGGACCCCTGGCCTCACCCTGCGCCACTGTCACGCTTGAGAGAAGAGCTCGTCTCGACCAGTTTCAGTGTCGACGTGCGGGGTCATCCCACGCCCCCATCCCGGGAGGAGCCCCTGTTCCCAGAGTGCTGCGTGTTTGTTGTGCTGGCGTAGCTGCCCGCCTCAGCGATTGCGTCATCCTGCCACCCAGCGGGCACCTGGCGGCTGCGGCGAGACCCCGCGCTGCGCTGGGGGGGTCCCGCACCTTCATCTGGGGCGATAATCTAATCGCACTCGTTCTGTCCCGTCAGGGCAGCGTGCGCTCGTGAGACCGCCCGCTGCTTCACTCCTTCAATCTCCGCCAGCTTCCTGCACAGCTGCAGTCTCTCCCAGGGCGGTCACAGATGGCGAGAGACGACAAGCCGGCGTTTATTCCCCCCGGTGTTTTCTGGCTGGGGCCGGGGGACAGAGCCAGGGCGATGGCGTGTGTGTGCGTGTGTATATGTGGGAGTGCTGGGGGCAGGCCTCAGAGCAGTGCGCAACACCTAGCCCCCTTCTGCTCCTGGAACTGGGGCCCACGAAAACTTAAAGGCCAATGGAAAAGATTTTGACCACACTTTTTTGTTTGGTATGATAAAATCCAATCGCCCATCTACCTGTGGTCGTTACACCCATAAAAAAGCCTCTACAGTATCTGCGCTAGAGTAGTGTCCCAGGCCTGCATGACCTTAATCCAGCCCTGTCAGGAACTGTTCCAGTTTACTGTGGTAAACTGACAGTTCACCGTAGTACAGAGGTAGGCAGTCGTGGTCCTGGAGTCACGGGTTCCTGCAGATTTTAGGGGTGCCTTCCAACCAGCACCTCGTTAAGAGCTGGGAAACACCTTACCCACTTGAGTGGTTCAACTAGAGAGGTCTCGACCTGCCCTGCAGTACATTCGGACCTGGGGTTTATCTTGCAGATACCAGGCACTCAGTGTAAAGTGTATCACACTTCACTGTCTTTTGTACTGTGCTGTTACCCTGATCTCACCGTGCTTTACTGCTCTGTACTGTGCTGTTACCCTGATCTCACTGTGATTTACTGCACTGTACCGTGCTTTTACCCTGATCTCACTGGGCTTTTCTGCACTTCGAGACTCTGATTCCTGCAACAGCTCCTGCTGCGCAGCTCTCTCGCCTGGGACAGGGGACAGAGGGTGTTTTCCTGTTTCTCTCTCAAGTCTGCAGTAGCGATGAGACCTTTTGATCTCCGAGGGAACGTGCTTTTCCAGAGGGGGATGTAGAAGATGACGCGTTTTTCATTTTCGCGTGACGGGGTGCCTGGGAGATGGCCTTGCCTCAAGTATCTGCAAGAACAATGGTTTCCCACCTTCTTTTTGTTTTTGTTTGTTGTTGTTTTTTTGCGCAGGACTTGAGGGACGCCAGGTTTCTAAAGACAGATCGCGGACGACAAACAATGGAGGGTGAACAATGGGCCGCGTGGAGCCGCAGTCCCAGCGTCCCACCCGGGACAGCAGACAGCGTCCCCGGATGTGCACGCACGTCAGCCGCCGGACACACCCGGCAGGGAAGTGGGTGAACCGAATCCTTACTCTCCGCCTCTGGGGAGAGAACAGTTTTCTCCTTATCACCTCCCCTGGAGAGAAAGGCTTCCCTCCCACCATTTCCTAACTGCTGTCCAGTTCAGGGCAGCTGGAACCAGTCCATCACAGGACACTCACACACCCTGGACCGGACACCAGTCCATCACAGGACAC